TCTCTCTCTCTCTCTCTCTCTCTCTCTCTCTCTCCCCCTCTCTTTGATTTCTTTTATTGACACTTAACAACAATGTGGGTGCAGACATGAGCAAGTTTCATTTTGGTTCACCCACCGCCACTGGATACCCCACAATCTTATTCAGACATTTTAAACATTCTCCTTGTAATAACTCCTAAAGTCAAGAGCTTAGTTAATTGAACTGGCCGTTTTCCTCCAGTTTTTTTGCAAAGTCCAGATGCATGCACATTACATACGGTCCCGTAACATCAAACCTTAGCGCAAATTGGGCGTACGGTCCCCTAACGCCAAGCGGTATTGGGGCGTACGGTCCCTTAACAATAGCCATAATTTAACTGTGTAAAACGGGCACCTGTCCAACGCAGCTGCGGCCACCATATTTCAACACACAACCCTTATCTCACCAAGCAATAACACCTGTCTTAGACGGCCACTTTTCTCCTTGACAATGAGTGGCCGTCTTACACAGGTTCGACTGTATGTCAGTTGGGGTGTAAAACATTTATTATCTTTTATTTGTTTATTCTCAGGAGCCAAGATATATGGGCATAAAGTTGTCCTGAGCACCAGAAGTGCCGTGATGGCAGCCATGTTTTCTGGGAACTTTATGGAAGGAAGTCCAGGAAAGTTGACAGAGGTGAACCAATAATTTGTAATTCGTGACTCTCATAAACCCATAACTGCCTAATTTGATTTCTATTGTTTTGTGGAAGCTTGTAAAAAACAGGGCGGTTTTTTTAATACATGAATCATAAACTGTAAATCCTATTTATTGAGGATTCAAAACAAGTCTAAGAGATGATTTGACCATAATAATAATAGGAAACCTGGAAAAAACTTCAGCTGCGAATAAAAAAATCATCATTATCAAGTAGGCTACCGCTGATCTGTGACAGACATCAGTGATCATGGTTCTCCATTCATTCCCATTCCCTTGCTCGGATGCTCTTTTAAAAAGCTACATTACCCTAGTCTTTCCCAATCACCCATTTGTTGAGGCTCTCCAGGTAGGTTGCTCTGGGCCTACCTATGCCTCATTTGCCTTCAATCTTAACCGTGAGAGCTAGGTGTTCAATGTGTACTCAGGTGTCCCAAAAACTACAGTTTTCTTTTTCTGATTGTTTTTGTCAGTGAGTGGCAACTTAGGCTTCTTCAGGTGTACAATCTTATTAAAAAAATAAAATGACCCAAAAAAAAAACTTTAAAAATTTTGGCTGTTGTGTTATCAGTTGCCGTACCATTGTACTGATTTTCATGCTTGTGGTTTTGACAGAAACCCCTCTGACGGATAAATAAAAATATCTTTATTTCATTTTTTCCTTCGTTTTCTGAAGGTCACTTGGAGGATATGATAACTTTGGAATCAGAGCAGCTAGACTGATAGTGGGGCTTTAACAGATTTTAAATTAGACACTTGGGTGGTTGATGGGTGCTTTGATGTGGTTTACTCCTTCTTTCTCATTAAACATCTTTTAGCCTTATCTCTCCTCCTTCTTTTATTTGTACGTTACTATCTAGTAACCCTCAAATCTCAGACCGTTACCTGACCTTATTGTGTTGCGAATACGTAAAACTCTTACGAAGACTAAACCAAAAAAATTAGACACCCAAAGTGCTATTTGTCAAAATGCGACGTGTGGCTCTCTCTGTTGATTTGCTATGCTTCTGAAAGATGATTCAGGTAATAAGAATGTCTTCTCCACTTCTTTTCCAGTTGTGAAGAATGATTTCTCTGCTCCCCCTCTCCCCACCCTCCTGCTTTACTGAAATTCTTTTTTCCTTCTTTTTCTCGAAAAGAACTCTTTCTACAAAATTGTCATCTTTTCTTCATTTGCCAATTTTATTTTTCGCATTAGGTGAACATGTCCAATGCGAGAACGGAAGAGTTCCTTCCTGTCCTGGAGTACCTGTACACTGACCACGCCCCCCTGGAGGAGGCTGATGACATCATAGGGGTCATGCAGGTCGCGGACGAAAACTGTCAGTCCAGGCTGGTCAATTTGTGTGAGCTGTACACCAGCAAAGAGGTGGAGAGAGCGTGCGAGAAGAAGATAGAGAAGGCGGCCATTGACGTGGTGGGGCTGCTCAATACAGCACGGGTGAGTTGTGCCTGTAGTTAGATCTATTTATAACACGGTGGGTGAGTTTTTAGGTGGGCCTACAGTAGAATCTGTTTACAGCATGCTGGAGGAGTTAATTCTGAAATAAAAATACATTTTCGCTTTGTTAGTTTTTGTGTATACTGATTCCGAATTGGTTTATAAGCACTCTAGGTGAGTTTTTATGGGCAGTAAAATCCATTTTCTTTTATTTCTTTAATTTTTTAATCTCCGGCAAGCCGCTCCCAGCGGCTGACGGTCGGAACCTCTGTGCTGGTGAGACGCTGGCAGCTGCTCGGCCCCTCCTTTACAACGACTTTGACATCAAATTACTTTTTGGCAATTGCCGAAAACAGGTCTCTTTTATCAGGAGTTCATTCGTTAGATGAAGAACTATCAAAATAGGCTGACTTGTTTTGATTTAATGACCCATTCAGTGACGTTTTGTCATTTATAGATTTAGCACCAAAAAAGGGGCCCGCCACTGTGGGTTTACCCCCCGCAGAGATAAAGAGTTAAATATGATGTAAAAATTTGATTTTTTAAACTAGAGCATACATCACTTATGTTCATTTTCCCTGACCAGGTTTTCAACGCATCCCAACTCATCAACTGGTGTCTACACTTTATTTCCACCAACTACGACGCTTTCTCACGGAGGTCAGAGTTCACAAGCCTGACTAAAGAGGATCGGGCCCATGTGGAAGAGAACAGATGGCCACCATTGAGCTACCTGATGGAGGCAGAGGAATACGAGAAAGAGATGTCAAAACATACTGACAAGTGTGTTGTTATGTGAAATCTGCATATGAGATTTAGTGCTTAATCAGCTGCTTGCTATGTGTGCTTCCCACAAAGCTGAGAATTTTCTGGGTGTTCAAAGGCCTTCTATGATAATAATGGATTTAAAGCGCTTAGAGCATGGATCTGCACAGCATAAATGCAATCTTTATTATTATTATTATATTATTATTATTATATTATTATTATCATTATCATTATTATTATTATTGTTGTTCTTTTTATTCCTGTCATGCTAGGAAAGAGTAAAACAGGTCAACAGAAACAATGGAAAGAAAGAAAGAAAGAAAGAGAAGAAAGACCTACCTACCACTGGTGCTCTCACATACCCACAAAAAATTTGTGTATGTGTGGGGGGGGGGAGGGGTCGTACCCAGATGTTTATATGCTCTTTTTTTATTTACACCGTTTATAGCTTTAGGAGCCTGGCTGCTTCAACCATGCCAATCAGGGCTAACTCGGGCTGAAAGGGATACAATGTTCAACCTGACAGATGGAGATACTCAGTGGGAATTGAACTGAAATGTATATATATATATATAAATATATATAAAAATATGTATGTGTGGCAACACAGTGAAATCAAGTGTTCATCCAAATAATGACATCGAAGAAACTGGCATTTTTCAGCTCTTTCGGCAAATTTTATTGAATTTTTGTTTTCTGGCTCAGTACCCTTCATGCTCTTTTGAAAAGACATTTCTGTGTAAATTTTACGGAAAAATGTTGATTAAATGCTCAAAAAGTGAAAAATTGCAGTTTCCAAGGACACTCAAGCTTTGGAAGTCATCAAACTTTGGAGGCCATTTTCGCGCTGATTTTACTTCTGAAACTAAGCAATCCCGCCTTCTTCAATTGCAAATTTCATAATTTCTATTAAAAATAAATGGGTATTTTTTCATCTAAAGAAAGACAAATAACGAATGATGATTTAAGATGATATCAATAACTCCACATACCCAAAAATTGATAAGCGCCTGATTCCACTGAGCCGTGACACATATATGTCTATGTATATAATGTGTATCCCTCAGTGAAAAGAGGGAGTGTGGAAGAACAGGAGAGAGACACAGAACAAGTGAAGTAAAGAGAGACAGAGACAGCGAGTAAGAGAGTGAGTGAGAGAGAGACGGAGATAGAGAGTAGAGCAAATGAGAGAGAGATGGAAACAGAGGGCGAGTGAGAGAGAGACAAACTGAGTGAGAAAGAGACAGAGAGTGATTTAGAGAGAGGGAGATGGAGAGTGAGTGAGACAGAGAGACAGAGACGGAGAGCATGTGAGATGGAGAAGATGAGAGGAGAAAGAAGGAAATGGAACCAGTGATTGGAAAAGTTTGGGAGATTGTAAACCCTGTGCTTCCATGGTGTAAAAATCATTGTATTGTTGTTTTATAATGTTTGCTATATTATTTTGCACTATGTTTTAATTCCAATGAAATAAAAATTGTCGGCCAGCTCTGTTAAAAAGTACTAAGCCCAAATTTTGGAATTTTTTTTTATTGCCGTTTCTTCATCTGTTATGGTGGTTGCATGTGCTCAAGAAATATTTTGTTGAAATTTTAGCTCTATATATTGAAAAAAGCTAAAAAAATACATAACGTTGACGCAATTGTTAACCCTCTCATTGCAGAGGTCGTTCCATTCACGTTTATGCAGAGGAGACAAAATTAATGTTCATTCAAGGGAGATTCAAATAAAACCTTTGTACAGTCGAACCTGCTCTGACGGCTACCTGTATAAGACAATCACCTGTACAAACGGCCATCTCCCTTTTCCTCTATTGCATATTTTGTACCGTATAATGAGACTGTATAAGAATTGTCATCTGCCTAATACAGCTACTTTTCCCCCCAACATTGGATGGCTGTCTCAGACAGTTTCAACTGCATTATGTTTTCCCTTTTTAAGGATAGGCAATTGTTCAAGATGCAATTACAGTCGAACCTGCCATGACGGCCACCTCTATAAGATGGCCACCTGTACAAACGGCCACTTTCCATCCCCCCCCCCCCTTGTGTTTTTTGTATATAACTTAACTGTGTAAATCGGGCACCTGTCCAACGCGGCCGCGGCCACTTTATTTTATCAACCCACGGTCAAATATATCTGCCTCAAACGGCCAGGCGTGGTCACTCATTGCCCAATTCTTTGTCGTAAATTTTGAATCGGCCCCTGACGCTGAGGCCATCATAATTCATTCACCTGTCATTATTGTTAGTCCCTCTAATGAATGTTTACCCAAGTTGACCAATTGGTAGGCCTAACAATAAATTTTCAACTGCTGGTGAGGAAAGCGTGATCCGTGATAACCTATAAGCCCCGCCCACAACTCATGCACAGATCGTGTGAGAGGTAACTGGTCACTGTTTTGTTTACCTAATCTGTAACAAAGTAGCAATGGACTTGGACGTAAACTTGCAACAGATGCGTCACTCGTTCTCAGAGTGGTGGCCATCCGTGTGTTTGTTTTACCATGGCGCTCAGTCTTCGTTGTCTTAGTTACATAACATTTCAATTATTTTATCCTTGCACATAGATCTATAATCAGTGATAAAAAGAAAGCTAGCGTAAAAAAAAAATTAATTAACAACAAAACAGCTCAAAAAGACCCTTCTTACACCACCCACCCCCATTCTATAAAAGAAAGCAAAAACCCTTTCGAATTCGCCTTACGGCTGTCCTCATCCCCGGTTTGGACCTCAGAAGGGAATGGCTTGCTTTCTCCGTCAGTCCTGCCTGAGGCGGCCCCCTGTGTGTTATACGGGCACTTTTTTTCTTGACCGTGTGTGGCCGTTTTACACAAGTTTGACTGTAAAACAATCCTCTATAACCTGGGGAAAAAGACTGTGAACCCGTGTGGGAGAGCAAAAGTGAATGTGTGAGGCATTGTGGGGAAATCAGGCATTCGTCGTGTCAAAAGAATAAAATCGAAGCAACAGGCGTTTTTTCGCCAGTCTGACCATTTTTTCAAATTTTTGTGTTTTGGCTCAACACCTTTATCTCCATACCAAAACCACATTTCTTTGTGAATTTGACTGAAAACGTTGATTAAAGTAACAGAATTTGTAATTTTTCAGTTTTGAGGGACTCACAAGCTATTGAAGTTACCAAAGTTTGGCGGCCATTTTCTCACTTATTTTATCACTGAAACCAGGTAACCCCACCTCCTTCAATCATAAAAATCTCGACTTCTATTCAAGATACATGTATATGGGTATTGTTTTTTATTGAAAGCAAGACAAGTGAATAAGCTTTTAGATGATACCAATAACTCCACATGCTCAAAAACGGACGAGCGCCTGATTCCACCATGTCGTGACACGTACCATGCATCTCTACACAGTAGTGAACAGGTTAAAAGAAAATTACAGTTTTTAAACTTTCCTGTAAAATTTTGCTTTCTGGGCTTAGTACATTTGAAAGCTTGCAGCGGAAGTGTAATGTCCTCTTTTCTGGGGTTCCAGAAGTTGGATACTTGTCAACTGTGATGAAATGCTTTTTGACTATTCATATCACCATAATGTCATTGTGCGTAGGATGCATGCACAGATAAGACACATGTATAAAAATTCATGGCGCTACTTAGCCTCAAATATCTTTATAACGGGAGAATCAATGTCACCCATACTTTGCACAACAGTTTGTCTCAATTTGTCCTAACTTATTCATATTTTTCCACAACTATTGAGGCTAGATTAAAAAACTTTTCTTCATATACATCCTTCACTCGGAAAATAGAATATTGTTCACAGCACTTACCGTTTCCCACACAAATTTTGTATATAGGCATATGGGTTACGTCACAGCTCACCAATGATACTTTTTAGTGGCAAAACTAGTAACAAGAAATTAATTTATAGTGAACACTTTTTTGCACTAAAAGTTCTCAAAACATGCATTTATTAATAAAGATAATCTCTAGATTAGGAAAAAATGACGGACTTGCTTTTAAAAGTAAAAGCGATATCGTCCCAGCTGTAAACCTTTTAAAATGAGCAGAAACCACCCGCTAGGATTTTTTATTAGTATTTCTATTAAGAACTTTCTAGAATAAAGCTAACAGGTCTTTACAAAAATATTGATCCCTGTTTAAGACAAATTGATACACGCCACCGTGCAAAAGCTTGAGAGTTTATGTTCGGTATTTGAGGAGATATCTGACAATGAGTTGCGCCATGAATTTTTTACCGCACTATAGACTTTTCGTCAAAATTTTGATGTAAATCGAATGTGTGGACATCATGATGACCAGGTGAAATTAGTCATTCGTCAAAATAATACAATTAAAGAAACCAGCTTTTTTCCATCCACTGGGTGTTTCTTTTCAAATTAATTTTTTGGGGACTCTGCACCTTTTATGCCCTTTTAAAGCCTCATTCCCCTGTGTGGATTTCACAAAAAAATCCCGCTGATCAATGCCCCCCCCCCCCCCCCCACAAATGTTAATTTACAATTACAAAGGATTCTCAAACTTTGGAAGTCACCAAATTATGGCGACCGTTTTCTCGCTGATTTTATGACTGACATGAAGCGATCACTTTACCTCTTTCAATTGCAAATGTCTGGATTGATAGATGTTTTTAATTAAAAAAATAAATAAATCAAAAGCAAGTCAAATAAACAAGCTTTAAGTGGATACCAATAACTCCATATGGTCATACATTGACAAGCGCCTTATTCCATGGCGTTGTGATGCATACGCTCATCAGAAATGACGCACCAAATTTTTCATGGCCTGCACCATCACCTTTGTCAGTGGATTTTTCATTAACAACAACACTTCAAAAGAAAACAAATCAAAGTATTGTTTTTCTTTAAACCTGCTTTTCGTCAGCAGTCTTAGATCTGTCTACGCTGCAACAAGGAGCAGCCATTTCTAATTTCGTAACCCATGGACATGATGCAAGGCGAACTTGAGGCTCTGATTCTAAGGTACAAACGATGCATCTTTCTCCCATTTGCTATACGATATTTTTAAAAAATAATCATGCTTTATCGAGTCCATGTGCTTCTTATGTTGTATAACTTTTACTAAAATGATTCTACTTCAGTGTTATTATCATTTTTATTTTTTGGAGTAAATTATAATCATAGTTGTAACTGTTGCACCCTCCCATTGACGCCATGTAGATCATTTAGAAGGCAGGCTGCTTTGACTCGGACTGCACTGATAGTCAACTCCAAGGATTTAATACGACAATAACAAGAACAGATCCAACAACTATTACAATTACAATAATAACAACAACAAATACAAGAAATACAAGAACAATACAAAATTAGTAACAACAAATACAACAACTGACAAATAAAACAATGGCAAATACAGCAACAACAGCGACAGCAACAGCAGCACTGTCATCATCAGAAGGTCTTACACTTACAGTCATGTTTCATGAACTTTTTATTACGGTACGGTACGTATAATATCCCTCAAAAGCAAACTACACAAGTCACATCAAGTATGGAATGCGTACTACATCAACTTCCTTCATGCCATGTACGTCTGGACATGCTGCGATACACAACATCTGCCACTACTCTTGTGCTTCTCAATAACTGCATTTCCTTATAACGTAAACGCTACGTATAGAATCAACTCTCTGCATAACCCCTCCTCTC